CGAGTGGATGATATGAAAGGCATTAACCAGGCGACCGTGTCTCGGTGGTTTCAGCACGATGAATTCGCATTCGAAAGTTCTCTGCTTGTTTTGCTGTCTCTGCTGCTGCTGCTGTTGTTGTTGTTGTTGTTGTGAGTCTGTCTCTGGAAATAACCATTAATAAATTATAAATGATCAAAAATGATAGCAGTTAATAATATTAACGACGCCCGCCAGTTCAATGAATAATTCACGTTCGAAAGATGTTCTTGATAAGGTAGTTGCTAAGGCATTAGAGCAGCTGCTTTTGAAGGTTGTAAATGTTAGGTTAAAACAATATCTGATACAATAAATTGAAATTGTCACATTTCTGTTTTGGCCCCAGCACTAACTCCTAACTTACCTCCTCCAACTTCTTCGACTCTCAAATCAGCCCAACTAATCATTTTCGAACCGCCTTCCAGCACGTTCAACAGTCCATTGTTGACTAGCAAATAAAACGGGACGCTATTTTTCTTTGTCCCAATTCCGACAGATGATGACGTAATAGATGGCGGGAGATGTGCTGGATGATGGGTTATCGTAAATCGCTTGACACCGGATTGAACTCCAGATGAATGGACGATGAATTCAAAGTTATCGATTAGTGTGTTGGTGGTCGGCAAGCGCTGTAAACTGAATTTATTAAAAATAATTCATTTCACGACGAAAATAATCACAAATATATCGATTCTAACCGATAAAATATCCGACCGCTATCGATATCGGCCTGAGTGAAGTTCATAAGCATCGATATCTGTCGCACATCACTTTTTCTTCCATTGAATAGCGTACCGCCACGCCCGCCATTGCTGTAGTGAATGTTCTCACTGCCCCCACCACCACTACTACTACTGCTGCTACTATGAACGTGATGATTTGCTTTTTTACCGTAAGAATTGCCCTTCTTGGTAGTGTTTATTACCTCACTGATGGCAGAATAACCATTAAAATATCTTCCGTCGTTTTTAATTTTTCTTTTCCCTCCATACTCCACCAAAAATAAATGTCCCAACACTGGAGTGGCCACCATTGTGTAAACGACGTCATCGCTGGCCACCACGTGGTGTCCGTTTCCGCTTCCGGCTGTCGTGTGTAAGTGGTTTTTTGTGATTGGGCAGTCGCGGTCGCCGACAAACACTATACCGACATTTCGTTCGATGTTTAGTTTCGGTTCGTAGACGGTTATAGCGAGATGTGATGTCGGTTCTTGCAGACCGAAAAATGAAACTTGATAGAAGAAACTATCGTCATCAACTACAACGACAGTTACATCTCGCTCTTTCTCATCATCATCAGCACCGACAGGATCATTATCATCAGCGTGAACCTCGTCGCCATCGTCAAGATCGTCGTCGTAACTGTTGATGTAGAAACTTGCAAACTTCTTATTGATGCCTGTGTCCGTACTGGCGCCGATCTTTCTGCTGCTACTACTGCTGCTGCTGCTACTTCCATAACTACTCACGCCGCTATCCCCATAAAAATGCACATATTTTAACCTATTGTTCGCGACGTCATTTTGGCTCCACCCACTAACAGCTGATTGGTTGTCGCTGACGGTAACGACGGTCCAACCATGATTTGGAGTTAGTAATTGAAGTAGACCGTGTGTAGGAGCTTGCAGTAATTTATAATAAATATAATTATTATTATCATCATAATTATTTTTATTAAGATTATCATTTTTGGTAGTGATGGTATTAGTAGCAGCGATGGTAGCAGCGTCTGACGCGATTGTGGCTTCGTACAGTAAGTAGGTACTATTAATGAGGATCTGGTTGTTTTTCAGGCTGTGCATGGTCGTCGCCTCGCTCAACTTTTCCAGTTGCCACCCATTCGAAGTCACTGTTAGCAGCTGGAGGTGGGCGTTGAAGGGGTTGAAAAGGTGAAATTTTTAGCGGTGAAAATTAAATGAGGTTAACAGACATGCATAATACGTCAATTTAAAATAATCTAACTTTCGATTGGCTACTATTCTTGCCATCGTTGACCCAGATTTTAAAACGTCTTGTGATTGCCTGAGAGCCCGAATGACCCACATAAATTGACCTACTTATCATGTCAGCCAATGAGAACGAGGTTACTTTATCATAGTACGTTACGGAGTATTTGCTTTTAGATGAAGAATGATATCTGTCAAACAGCTGATTCTCAGATAAGGATGAAAATGAGGGGGAAGATGCTGATGACAATGTTGAAATTTTCAAAAAGTTTATTTCACTCTCGTTACTACTACTACTGGCATCACCTCCACTACTGCCACCACTACTACTTCTGCCGCCACAAAGATGGCCACTGCCGCTACATCTAACGTCAACTGGCCTATCGCTATCGACTGCGCTGCCAATTTGCTGAACATGGACGATCGAACGATGATGATGGTGTGGGTCTCTAACCTCATCGTCGTCATCATCTTCAACCTTTAAAAAATCTCTTGTCACCAACATTTTACTGTTAAGTGACAATTTTACAATATTCCATTTTAGGTGTAAAGATGGTGGGTCATTGACCGGAATAACTTGAACCGGAAGCGTTATATTTCCGGTTAGAAGTTCACTTCCGTTTCCGGTTCCATTAGTGATTGAGTAATCTAAAATTATTACGTCTTTGTCGGTTTCGAAACGGCCATCGTGGTAGTAGTAGATACGGTTCTCGGTCAAATCTCTCCAGTCGAATACCAAGTAATATCGGTTATTGTCATAGATCGGTGACGATGACGGTAACAGGGATGGTAGCGATGACGACGATGATGATGAAGACGTTGACGATGGTGGCGAGAAAGGCGGAGGCGTCAAAATAATGACGTCACCGCAAGGCGGTTTTTTTAGTAACCGGAAGTGGATGTTTATCCCGGAAGCTAGTTTGCGATCGCTTTCACGTCGGCGCCAAAAAATGTTTTCAGTTGAGATGGGCGTCCGAGAACCTTCGTAAACAAGAATCGGTTTTGTCAGAAACATATCATTTCCTGCTGCTCCTGCTGCTGCTGATGATGGTGATGATGGTGATGATGATGATGGTGGTGGTGGTGGTGGTGGTGGTGGTGGTAGAGGTGGTGGTTGTGGGGGTTGAAGCAAGAGTGATTAAGTCTAAATGAATGGAAGTATAAACTTTTTATTTTTAAGAGCTTTTTAAAATCGGCATTTTTCAAAAGCTGACGAACACGATGATAATTTTTTTTAATCAGGCATGCAATTATCATAATTAGCATCATCATTATCATAATTTATTAACAAATCATCATCATCTTCGTCATCATCATCCATCCTCCATCATAGTCATCATCACAAATATTTTGATAAAAGTTTTTAAGGAAACAACATCTGAGTGAAATGAATGTGTGTACGTATTATACACATCGTACGTATCTAAGTCTTAGTATATATACATATATAATATATATATAAATGTATATATACATATATGTATGTATATATACATATACATATGTACTAAGAAAACCGGGGAAAATGCAGGCATTGAAGAAAAATAGATGTACACATTAAAGTATGTTGTTGGTATACATAGAAAAAGGTAGAAAAAGAGAGAGAGATACAGAGAGAAACAGACAGGCTAACAGAGAGACCAAGAAACCAACAAAAACATAAAGAAAGAAAAAGAGAAAGATAGAGAGAAAGAGAGAGAGAAAAAGTTTTGATTATTGTGTTGGCCTATGTTTGCTTGTGAGAATGCGGAGCAGTTGTTTATGATAAATTACTTGAATGATGATGAATACGTCGGGGGTGATAATAATAATAAAAATATAAACAAATTATTATTATTATTATTATTATTATTATTATTATTGTAAGCAGTAGTAATTGTAGAAGTTTCTTGTAATTATTTTATAGACAGGCATGAAATTTCAACACTAACCGAAGACCCGCTGGGGAAAATTTTGAATAAGGAGAAGGAAAATTATGAATGATGAAATTATGCGATTGAATATTATAAATAACGATGAAGATGAAGAAGATGATGATGACGAGGAAGAAGAGGAAGAGGAAGAAAAAGAAGATGATGACGATGAAGAAGAAGATGATGGTGATGATGATGACGACACTGACGATTCGGGATGAAGTTTTGACGATGCCAATGCTTTTTTAGCCATTACGTCGAAGACTGTAATAGTTTTTATTATAATAATAATGATGTTATAACAATTAATAATATAATAATATAATAATAATAATATTGTAATCGATTGAATTGTATTGTATCCAGATATCAATTATTGGAACTCTAACAATAATAATAATAACACAACAGCAATAATAATATTTATTATTATTATTTATATTATCAGTAAATAATAATCACATTATTCAACACGTTTCTTCAACAGTAATATATCGTAAATCATTTATTAATATCTAGTATCAAAGGTGTATATATATATATATATCACATGCTTATATCTATATCACATGTATCTAATATATATCCTATGTATCATAGAAGTGTATCTAGATATTAATAAATGTAAAAGTCTGTTAAACGTTAATGCATTTGTAAAAACAAAGAAACTGTGCAAAAAGTAACTATATATAGGTACATACATATATATATATATATATATATATATATATATATATATATACACACACACAATTATAAGCATTTATAATATTATATACTAATTTTTATGTATATATATATAGATAGAACAGAGAATCTTCAATGCTCTTTACGTGATATTCAACATCCTTACATTCATCGTCGTCGTCGTCATCATTTTAATCAGCATCATTCTACAAATCATCATCTTAATCATCTTCAATCATTGTTTATTGTATATATAAATATATACATATATATATATATATATATATATACATTGAGTCCGAGGTTATATATATATATATATATATATATATATACATATATATACATGAATGTATGTGTGTATGTATCTAAAAGCAACAAAGCATTAAGGCATTTTTTTTATTAATCCATGTAAACAACAACATTCACTGCCAAGTTTAGTCATTATCATATATTCGTGTGAGGAAATTGTAAGATAAACATGTTATATATATGGATATGAATAGTATGTCTGTGTGTGTGTTTGTTTGTGTGTGGGTGTGTTTGTTTGTGTACGTGTGTGTGTTTATATTTATACGTATTTAGTTAATTTTTATCTATAGGTTTTCTTTAATGCATAGTGGATGTTGTGAGGTCTTCCTTTTCTTTTGTAAATAAAAATTTTATAAAGCAACTACATCATCATTCCCATCATCATCATCATCGTCGTCGTCATCATCACCGTAGCATTAAACATATCAAACATACTGAACTTCAAAAAATTGATTCCACTCTTCTCTATATTTGCCGACAACTAGCGGTACATCGTCACCATCCCTATTATTAATCGGCACATCTCTATTATTTAGCCCATTTATATTATTTGATCCATCCCTATTCATCTGCACATCGCTGGCCTCCAGAACTTCGTTGTGATCATCTTTGTTCACGATTTTGTTGCCTATGATGGCCCAGAAGTTTTTCGTCAGCTCTCCATTGTATTCTCTCAATGTTACTTGGAAATCTGCTGTTGTTGGTCGTGTTGATGACGATAAAAATGCTATTGGTGGTGTAATTATAAATAATAATAACAATAATAATAAAGATGCTAATATTATCATAATTAATTACGGCCAATCACAATCACAAACTTGATCCATCAAGAGTTAGCTTGCCATTATTCTTACAGGCCAAATTCCCCATGTGATTTTCAAACCACAGCTGACTGTCAGTTATCCTGGCCGTTGGCCTGCTGGCAATGACCTTCAACCCCGCTTTTCCCTTGTCACCTTTGACCTCCAGTATTCTAAATGTTCCGTCGTCCGGGTTCTCGTTGAGTAGGCGGAAATATATCGGCGGTCTAGTTCGTTTATACGGTAATTATAAAATACATTAACAACTTTAATTAATAATAATAGTTTCTTGTTTTTGTCACCTACTTGCACTCAATAATCCATCTTTGCCCAGCGTCGCCCTCATAGTTTTGAACTATGACCTTTGCTCCCGCGACCTTTCCCGCACCCTCTGCCACTATTATCTTCTGGGGATTCATAATGTTCTCTAAAACGCCCTTTGACCTATTGTACCTCCATTTTTGGTCGTGGTTGGATTTCTGGTAGGGCTGCATGCAGAGATCGCCATTGTCTGTAGTGAGGGTCGGAGATCAATTTTTAATTTGTAATTATTATCATTCTCATTTTAACAATATTTATAATAATAATAATATTGAGTAAAATAATAATAATAATAAACAAATAACTGCAATTATTAATTATTATTATTATTTTTTTGAGGCTCGCGTCTAACTATCGACATCGAGGCAGAGATTTGTCCTTCGTGATCTTACTGTCCCAGTTAACGGGTCCTCATACCATACCTTGTATTAATAATAATACTAATAATAATAACAATTGTAATAACAATTATAATAGTAATTATAATAATAATAACGCATCATTTATATAGCGCCCTGGAAATGTGATTAATTAAAAACCAAAATATGATGATGATATGACTTAGTGATAAAAATATTTTTTTTCTTAATGTGACAATCATTATTATTGGTTTCTTTTATTATTATTATTTTTATTATTATTATTATTAACCTAATTTTACGAAAACTATTTATAACCTGGTTTTCCCCGGAATGATCCGGCCAGACATTGACTGGGGCTCCCGGTTTTATGGATCCCTCGGCCACGTTCAGTCTCAAATTAGTGTTGGACTTGCATTTGATCTCGAAGTATTTCCCATTTCCGTTAACGTTCGCCATTTTGTCTTCTCTTTACTCTATTTTTGATGTAATTATTTGTTCTATTTTTAAAGTTGTCGATGATGTATCACTTCATTGGATCGTTCATTTATAGATGGATGAAGATGAATGAAGATAGAAAGAAGAAGATGATGATGATGACGTCAAGAATGACGAAGACGACGATGATGTTGGTAACAATAATTAATTAATAATAACAAAACTGATGACTTTATTCGATGAGGAATTAACTCTTTCATGAAACAAAGCCAAAGTATCCTGTATCCTTAATAGAGAATGAATTTTCAGACGTCGTCCTAGCTGTCAGCAATGATATCATCAATAGTTCCCTGTGTATATATCTACATTATCTACATATACATATATACACCCACCTATACACTTATGTACATTTAACACACACACACACACACATACATACACACACACATACATACATACACACACTTACATACATACTCACACACATATATATGTCAAATTACTTTTACAATAACCCCATTATTACTACTAAAAGAAGTTACTTTACTTAAAATAAAAATAATGATAATATTATTAACATAGTTAACTATAATAGTAATCATAATATTGATTACACTACTTGAAATTTCAAGTGTATGTCAATGTGGTTTGACCACATACACAAACTGCACCGATCGTTTCTGCAATAATTTATATTTTATAAAATGACACGTATAACCTTCATGAATGAATTAATGAATGAGTGAGTGAGTGAGTGAATGAATGAGTGAATAAATGGATGGATGAATGAATGCCCAAAAATGCATCAAAAAACATTTACGATATTGTATCATTTTGTATATGTTTGTGTTGTATGTTTTTGATCTCTAGGTATTTAGTAGTAATTGAGCTATAGAAGAATTAGTATTTTATATGAGAGTATATGTGTGAATTGTGTGTATGTACGTATGTATGTGTGAAATGTTTGTATGTACGTATGTATGTTTGTTATGTGTGTATGGGTGTGCGTGCGCGCGCGCGTGTGTGTTATTGAAATAGGCACTTAAGAATCAAGGTGAATATGATATATGTGGGGTATATGATTAACTATGTGATGATAGAGAGCGCATTTTTTGATAAGATAAAGTTGTGAAATTCTTTTGACACAATGATTTTATTTATGAAATAATTAATATTACATGCTTTAAATTGTATACACCATCATAATTAACTGTTATAACACTTTTAAATTATGTTTTTGTTGATTTTTTCAACTGTAATTTGCTAGATGTTTTATATCTTTGCTATACCATCTGTTAATTTTTATCGTTGTTTTGTCTATGCAAAGCTACTTTCTACTTAAAGCTAACCTCGCTAACGTTTTCACTGGCGATTTAAATTTTTCTATGCTCGTTCTACGCGTTAGGAGTTAGTAAAATTAGAGAAGAAAATAAAATCAGTGTTTTTAACGGCTTGTATCTTTCAAAAGTAATTAAATTTTTGTATAGTTGTTTAAAATAAATTTGTTAAAAACACGCATTGGACTTTGTAGTTTGTGTTTTTTTTCCCCATTATTATAGTTGTTTTCTTGTGCTTGTCAAAGATCAAGACATTCAAATTTAAATGTTAATTTATTAATTTTACATACAAATTTTTTTTTTAGAAAGATGGCCTGCGCCACTCTAGCTGTAAAACGACATCGCCATTTTGATTTTGAGCCACTTGAACGAAGCCACAAGCGCAGACGAATCTCGGCGACCAAGACTACACTTTCAAGTGCCATGGCCCCAACGAGAAAGCAAGAAGAGGACGAGTTTTCACCCTTCGCTAATCTCGGCTTCCTTCTTTCTTGGGATCAAGGTTTGGGGGTTTCTTTATTATTTTTTCCAATTTTTACCCAGTGATAGAAATGTTGGCAACTAATTTATTCTATTTTTAAGTTTAACTAACTGTTTTTATTTAGCTAATGCAATAGTAATAGTCAGTTCTGCAAACATTCTTCAAGTATTCTACTAAAAAAGTTAAATAATCAAGTTAAATTGATATGATTAAAATGTCCTCACTCAGATGAACTAATGTCAAGAATTCGCTATCACGTAAAACGATTCAATAGACAAAAGTTTCTAGCAGAGCAACAAAATGCGCCAAGTGCCAGCAACGACATTCAAAATGCTCAACTGCCGCACATCATCCACCCAACTACGCAACTGCAACAACATCTCTTGCCCTCGAACCAGCTGCTGCCAGACATTCAAACAAATCAAATTGAAGGGCTCAACCCTAGGTTCACATTGAAACAAGCCTCCATTCTCTGTGAGAAAGCAATGAAGGAAAAAGAAAAAATATGGAAGTTAGAGTACGAACAGATCTTATCCAGCAGGCTTGCCGGTTAGTGTAATTAGTGTATATCAACATGGGGTCAGTCCAGGCAATTAGATTTTTTTTTGTGACCCTACCGTTTGCTGTTATTCAAGATTATCATTTATATCTCATATATTTCAGTTTCATCGTACTCATTATCAACATCATCATTCTCATAGCAGCATTATAATAATTTATGACACCCGCTATCAACCAACCAATCGTTGCAGAGCAATACGAATGCTTCTTGAAATTTAACAATGATTCGATGTATAGAGGCCCCAAGGAACAAGCCTCTAGTTGTCAGTATTTTTAATTTATGTGCATATTAACTTAATTTTAAAAAATTAATATTAATTTAACTTTGTTTAATTTAGTTAATGTTACATTTTTTAAGATATTTGAACATTTTTTTCGGCAGATGTATCTTAAAGATTTCTGGAAGGACTTGCTCGTAAATATTTTTTAATGTAAATTATTCATTTATTATTTTATTATTGTTATTATTATAATAATAAAAACAAATGATAATTTTTGGTGATATTATTACCAATATAAAATGATTGTATGAATTCTGCCGAGTTGTTGGCATTAATCAATTTAAAGTTTGTCTTTTCAATTTTCCTTACTAGAATTTTCTGGAAATTGCTTAATTTGTTGAAAATAGATGATATATATATATATATATATATATATATATATATATATATATATATATATATATATATATATTACACATGATAGTAGAATTCTTGCAGTGCTTTATGTATATATATATATATACATAATTATTACTATCATTATTAACATTTTTACTTCTACTACTGCTACTACTACATGTTAAGATAGTTTTAATGTGCATTACATTTTAATAATTTTGCAGTTTCACTCTATCTATTATTATTTATCATTAATATTGTAAGTACTATTTATAGTTTTTATATTTTTATTCAGAGAGTAAATTAACGTTAATAAATAACGATAATAATTTCGTTTTTATTATCATTATTATTATTGATCGTAATTATTTACTGTTATCGTTAACATTAATTCAAGTGTTAAACAATGAAGCCTTCGTTCGTTTCCGTCAGTTCAAAATAAAAAAATTGACAGTAAAATGGCTATACTGTGGTGGTATGATGAAGATGAGTTAATCAACTAACATTGGATCAAGTTATATAGCTCTGTTTAGTGAATCTCGTTAATGAGTTAGTGTTTGGGAGTGAGAAATGGACGATGTGATGGTTGTGAGGTTTGCTGCCCCCATGTGTAGTAGTGAATGATTGCTAGACTATGTTGCCGTTTAGATACTTGCAAATGTTGTCATAGTCCCCACTCGCGTCGTCGTCGTCATTATCGTGGGCAGTTTTCACGCTCTCTCTGTAGTCGTCGTTTTCTCGAAGGCCTGTTTTAATCGAAAAAAAGTTATAAATATCCGCAAAAGTTGGTCTGCTCTTTGGCTCCGCCTTCCAGCACGTCATCATTAGGTCGTAGACCTCGAGGGGACATTTGATTGGCTGATGAAGATAGATGCAACTGCCAGTAAGAGATTTGATTGGCTGATGAGGATAGATTGATCCACCAATAATGTGACTGCTTGTCGGCAGTGATGGCGAACGTGGAAATCTTTGAGTAGATTGTGGCGTGATCGAAGCCTGTGGTGTATTATTATTACTATTACTACCACTATTATTACTAATTATTATTGATATTAATTATTATAATTATTTTAAGTATAGGTACCCTCTGTTTCAAGGAGTTCTCGATAACTTGGCAGTCGTCAAGTTGGTGGTAGGGCTTGTAGCGAGCCAACGTCATCAGCTGCCATAAGGTCACTGCATACGACCACACATCACTCTTGTTGCTAAACTCCTCCTATGTATGTTAATATCTATTTCATTATTTTTAATTCGTTAATTTGTAATACAATTTGATGTTGTATGCATTTCATTAGCAATTCATTGAAAAAAAAATACGTATTCATCTAGTTATTCAATTTACGATCCTCTATCCTTTTTTCTAAACGACTTAAAAACGGTTTCAAAAATGGTTAACAAATCTATTTCATCTGAAAATTAGGCAGAATGGACCCCTTCCCAACCAATAGGAGAGCTTCGGGAGCCATCCATCTGACGGGCATCGGCGTTGAAGTTGGCGAAGAACAATAATAATCCCCTTTATAAACTGACATGCATTTCGATAAGTCCGTTATTTTGACCACTATTCTTTGGCCAGGGTTATTATTATTATTGATGTTGTTGTTGTTGTCAGTAGTAGTAAAAGCAGCAGCGGCAGCAGAAGTAGTAGTTGTAGTTGTAGTGGTAGTAGAATTCAAGATGACGTCATCAGTGGTGGTGATGATGATACAATTGCGAGCCGACAAGTCTCCGTGCACGAGTCCGCAGGATTCCAAGTATTTCATACCACTGGCGATCTGTCTAGACATGTCTAACAGAGTGGCTAGACTGATTATTATTATTGTTGTTATTATTATTACTATTATTACCAGGGCATATTATTTACAATAGAGTTTAAAAATAAAGATAGGTATTGAAAAGGACAAAAACCTCAATTGCTTTTTTCCTGTCTTCTTCTTCGTAAATTTTCCGCAATCATCTTCGTCGTCGTCGTCGTCATCGTAATCATCGTCATCATCGCTACTACTACTACAGCCAGTAGAGCATCCCCTCAAAAACTGCACACTATCTCTCCAGAAGCAGTTCAAAATCTCCATGACAACGCTGAACCGTCCGCTACTGTCAGTGTGGAAACACAGGCCACCCATGCTTAGAATGTTTCCGTGAGATAGTGACGCCAGGGTGAGGGCTTTCTGCTCGAACTTTAACCTTTTCATTAAAATTGTTTCAACAATAATGGTAAAATGTCTTGATGGTTAGGAAGACGACTGCAGTGTGGGAACAACACATTTGCGATTAAATATGATATAATTAATAATAATATTTATAATAATTATTATTATAATTTAATATCACAATGAGATGCAGTAGTTGCAGGCGTACTGACTGACTTCGTATTGGCCGAAGCTCTTTTACTGAGTCTCAACACGGCGGCCACTCTAAATGATGATGATGATGCTGGAGGTGATGATGATGACGATGTAGGGTGTGATGATGATGATGCAGAGGATTTCACTTTACATAAATCAATCTGTTGGAATTTAAGGAGAAAGAGAAAAAAAAATCAAAAAGATTTTTTATTTTGAATTGCTATTGTTGTTGTTATTTGAATTTTTAATGAATATATTACTATTATTAATTTATTATTAATATTGTTTAGTATTATTATAATTATTATTATTACCATTCCGAATTCGCCTTTGCCAAAAATTTTTATGATTTCTAAATCGTCTTCGTCAAAAATTGTTTGGGTTGCTAACAATCTTTGAATGTTGTTATTGTTGAGTTTGTTGTTGTTGTTGCTGTTGTTGTTGTTGTTGTATCTGTAGTAGTAGTAATTGTTGTTGTTGTTGTTGTTTTTGTTATGGCGGTTCAAACTGCTCTGCCTTTTTAGCGAACTATAAGTATAGGACTGGTTATTAAACATCTGGAAATTGTTTTTGCTGTTGTTGTTGTATTTGTTGTTGTTGATGTTGTTGTTGTTAATGTTATTGTTGTTGATGTTGTTGTTGTTCTTGATGTTATTATTGAGATATTTTTCAATATTAATCAGTGACTTTTCAGGGGAGTTGTATATATTTGAGGACATTTTTGCGCTATTTGTGCTCTTAATCATGCGGTTGTTTAAATTATAATTATTATTGTAATTAATGTTGTTGTTGTTGATGCTGCTGTTGTTGTTGATGTTGTTGTTGTTTAAAAGTGGACTTTTATTTTCAGGAATTGCCTTTAGGAATATCGTCGGGTGTAGAAGGTAGTAGTTAGCGTCTATTTGGGATTTTGCTGTTGTTGTTGATGTTTTTGTCGTTGTTGTTGATGTCTTTGTTGTTGTTGTTGTTGTTGTTGTTGATGTCTTTGTTGTTGTTGTGGTTGGTGGTTTCCTTGGTAAGAGAGGTGGTGTGTTGATTGATTGTTGAGTGTTACCGCTCCTACCTACACTCGCATGAAAAATTTAATCTTGTTATATGCAATTATGATATATAATACACTTGTGTCATGAAAAGTTTATTATATAATTATAATTAATTAATTAATAATTAATATAATTGTTAGATATAATTCAGAAGAACTCATGCCTCGAGATTGTAAAGTTGAATACTTGAATGGGCTCTGATGTGAGTGATGGCGAGGATGAAGATGTTGTTGTTGTTGTTGGTGGTGGTGGTGGTTGAAAGTTAAGTTTTGTTGCGAACAGTGTTGTTGAGATAATTGTTGATGTTGTTGTTGATATTGTTGTTGTTGTTGAAATAGTTGCTGTAGCGGCTGTATTTGTTGCGGTTGTAGCAGGTGTTGCTGAATCTGGCTTTGAAATAGAAGCTGTTTTTTTTGTTGTTGTTGTTCGTCTTGTTGTTGGCACGGCTGCACTTGCTGTTGTAGTAGTTGTGGTTGTTGCAGACGTTGTGGTTGTTGCAGAGGTTGCAGATGTTGTGGTTGTTGTGGTTGTTGCAAATGTTGTGGTTGTTGCTTCTGCTGACGATTGTGAAGATTTTTTGAGTCGTAGTAGACAAACTCCTTGCCAGAATCTGACGACATTTGTAATAATATTCTATCCTCGTCTACAACTATCAGTCCATCATCGGCCTGAATGAATGAATAAATGAATGAATGAACGAATGAATGAACGAATGAATAAACGAATGAATGAAGAAACGATCGATGATTAATATGTAAGTATATAAATGAATGAATGAATTAATTAATCAATTAATTAATTAATTAATTAATTAATTAATTAATTAATTAATTAATTAATTAATTAATGAATGAATGAATGAACGAACAGCTTACCTTTTCCGCTACGGACTCATATGCCCGTTTCAATTTACTTTTAAACAAGCAGTCATTATTATTATTATTATTACTATTGTTATATTTATTATTATTCTTATTATTGTAAATATTATTCCTTTTCTTCCTTACCACACAAACGATGAAAAGTGTCCCGAGAAGAGCCAACACCACGAAAAGCGACACCAAGCTTAGTAATAGTGTCGTTAAGAATGACGAAGACGATGGTGATGATGACAATGATGATGAAGAGGATGATGATGATGCTGCAGCTGCTGATGATGATGATGAGGCGTTGCTCTGTTGAGATGATGATGATGATGCCGACGATAATGATGATGATGGTGGTACCTGAGGAAATGCTGATAATGATTTCGAAAATAATACTGGTGGTGATGATGACGATAACGATGATGATGATGATGTTATTTTTGTTCTATCAAGGACTTCGTTAACATAGTCTGAGAAATCTAATACGGCATTCTTACTATCTTCATCGCTATTATTATTATTATTATTATTTCTATTAAAAGGTGTGAAGGTGTTATTATTATTATTATTATTATTGTTGTTGTTGTTGTTGTTGTTGTTCTTGCTGTTGTTCTTGCTACTGCTCAAATGTTTTCCCATATTGATGTTATAGTTCTGGCCGTAGAATCTATTGTTACGACTGTTTAAATTGCTATTATTATTATTAATCTTTTTCTTGCTTTTATTAGTATTATTGTTTTTATTAGTATTATTGTTGTTTTTATTATTATTTTTGTTGAGCCTTCCGTTATTCCGAAGCGTATTCAGTTTTGCCGTAAAACTTTGTTTTGTTGTTGTTGTTGTTGTTGTGGTAGATGATGACGACGACAACGATGATGATGATGATGATGATGAAAAGTAAGGTGTCGGTGGAGTAACTTTGAACAGGGGTTCTGGAAAAAGTTTGAAATATATATCATTCCCATTAAATGGGAATGATATATATTTTCTTAAACTTATTTGGTTCCCTTATTGAAAATAAAATAAATAAAAAAAATAAAAAATGTCGCCTGCTATCGTTAATTTATCATTGCAAGTATCACCATCATCACCATCATCATCACCATCATCGTCACCATCATCGTCACCATCATCATAATCATCATCATCGTCGTCATCATCATAATCACCGGATTCAAAGGTTATCTCGCTGATTAGGAACCAAAGACTATCAATGTAGAGTGTTGCTTTAATGAAATCGGTAACCGAATCATTTAACCTTTGACTGAATCGACAATACCGAGCAGGTAATGGTGACGATGATGACGATGACGTAGACATTTTTATGGAACGCTTTTTGCGTTTTTCTTCAAAGATTTTTTCGATATTGTTGGTAGCGTTGTACTTTTTTTGCAGTCTTAAATTCTTGCTACGACTTATGAAACGTCTTTTCGTAGTAATAAAATTAACGTTTGGTGTAGTAGTAGAAGCGGCGGCAGTAGTAGAAGTAGTAGCCGTAGTAGTAGCAGTTGAAGCAGCAGAAGTAGTAACAGTATAATAGGTGGGACTATTGGCATATTTATTTGTGGAGAGGAATTTCATAAGATTGTTATCATCAACGTAGCTATCGTTATCATAATCTTCATCATCTTCTTCATCATCATCATCTTCTTCTTCATCATCGTCGTCTTCTTCATCATCGTCGTCTTCATCTTCTTCACCATCGTCGTCGTCATCATCACCATCATCTTCGTTGCCATCACGGTTGATGTCGTCGTCATCATCATCAAAACTTAAGGAGATTTTAGACGGGGCTTGGGCCTGAAAATTCAATTATTATTATTGATATTATTATCATTATTATTATTATTATTATTATTATTATTATTATTATACCTTTTTATCGCCGGTGCAAAGACAAGAGAATACGATTCTCGTAAATTTTCTGATTTCGTTGAATCTAAAACTTATATTCATCATCATCAGATCTGAAGACGATGATGACGACGACGACGATGATGATGGGTCATTCTTTCGCCAACCGATCCAACCGTAATAATGTATGTCGTTTGAATTCTGTTAATAATATTTATAGTAATAGTTTATTATCGTAATTATCTTTACCATCTTCTAACTATAACGCTTACCCTAACCCTATCAGTCAGTGGCACCCCCAGATCGCCCTCCACCCCGTCGGCCAGCAGTCCCAAGCCAGGATTCCACCAGTCCCTATCGTACGTGACGTCATCGTAGACTCGGGTGTACGTGGAGGAATTGGGATTAATGTGGATTCGGTACGATGATAAGGTGCCTATTTCAAACAAAAGTCTAATTTTTTGGCACCTTTTTTAATTATGTTATTTCTATAAATTCTCTCTAGATTGCTTCTCAAAGGTGCCATCAACAACAACAACACACAAAGTGCTGGCACGCACCACATACACAGTGCATGTGGCAAGCGGGCATCTCTCTGCATTCGAATCCGGCCCTCACTGCAACTGCAGCAGCAGGACCAGGCGTCTTAACCATCACACCATCTGGTCGCTTACTTTCCCAGAAGCATCCATAGAGCTCCAATCTCAAACAGACATGCTGTGCCTCCCTTGAAAATGGCACCACCCTAATTTTTTTCGCCACAAAGGGGTGTTCAAGTTGGTGGAAGGATGTTTCGTTCTTTTCACTGCTGCCTTTTATGTGCTGTTTTTTGAGTGCATTGAATGGAAAAAATTATCAAATGAACCACCGAAAATGGGTAAAAAAAATCGACTGAATGAGATAATGAAGTGAACGAATGAATAAGTGAACTGGCCCTGAAAAGTTAGGGTAAATGAAAGTTGGAAACCTGCGTGCCATTGCTATCCTTATAAATGATCCACAGCTGACGACCATCTAATTCATTCCCTCTCTGATACTCCAGTCTGTACTCGCTGACGTACTCGCTGGCCTTCGAACTCGAACGACCTTGAACTTCGATCCCCGTTATCAGGTGGAGGTCAAACAGCTCGATCATCAGCCATTCGTGGGTTGTCACGTTTATCTGATCACGTGGGCACCAAGCTCCTCCTCCTACTTCCGTCCTAATTCTAGCACGTCGAAAATTTTATTTTATCATAATTTAACAAAACGTTTTGATGAGTAATAGTTAAAATATAGTTAAAATAGTTATATAGTTAAAATGTTAAAATAATTTCATAATTATAATTTATGACCTGACCTTGAACTTTGGGGGCCAAATTTTCGCATGTCTCTAGATGAACTGACACTGATGAACGAGTTAGGAATTTCTCCGGATTCCATGCCGAGTGGTTTTTTGCAGTGATCATCTGATTGGTTGGTTGGTTGGTTGATTGATTTGTTGGTTGGTTGACTGGCTGGTTGGCTGGCTGGTTGTACAACTAATCAAAAATATAACTGAATAGAAACGATGATTCAATTTGAAAAATTTTGACTTGTGATTGATATATGACGTTATAAATGTGATGAAAAGAATATTTTAACTGAGAGAGAGAGAGAGAGAAAAAAAAAAGAGAGATAGAGAGAGAGAGGGGGGGGAATGTAAGTGTGTGTAACGGTAATGAGTGTGAAATGCAGTTGCATATCTACTAATTGTTTGTTTGGAAAAACCTCACCCTTCTAAGAGTTGGTTAATTCAAAAAACCTTTGAATGCGTGCTTTAACATACATGTGCTTCTAATTTTCTAATTGCAATCGTCACTGTCACTACTATTATTATTATTGTTGTTGTCATTGTTATTATTATCATAATTGTTCTCGCTATTATTTTTATTATTATCATCATCGTCGTCATCGTCTATCAAGTTACATCTCTCTACGCTTGCTGTCTTATCTCTTCAAACAAACTGCCACAGCTTCACTGGATGAATGAGTGAATGAATGAGTGAATGAATGAATGAATGAATGAATGAATGAACGAATGAATGAATGAATGAATAAGTGAATGAATGAATTAATGAAGAAACGAACGACGAAAAAATAGATGAACGTGTTTTTTGGAGCTTAAGTTTATAATAAACTCTCTCTTTTGCATGGTGGACACAGTTGTGTTTTTTCCTCTAATTTTCAATCTTTCTCACTGTCTGTCTGTCTTTCTGTCTGTCTGTCTATCTGTTTATCTGCCTGTCTATTTGTTCGTCTGTTTGTCTGTTTGTTCGTCTGTTTCTATCTTCCTCTCTCATTTCTTTTTCATTTTCTCTTTCTATCTCTCTCACCAATCGACAGGCATGTTTCCACTCCTTTCCTTATTTTCAGTCTCTTTTGAGTCATTCCTTCTTTGACATTTTAGCGTTTAAGGAGGAACAATTTAACATCTAAAAGGCATCATTTAACGTTCATAATACTTCATCCACTGTTTGAAAAGCATTATTAAACGCTAAAAGACACTCAATTTTACATTCAAGGGACGTTAAGTGTTGTTTAAGCTGTTTAAGAAGTGTTATTCAACAAACTATTTTAATCTTTACTGCTGGTTTTTGTGAGTACGTGTGTGTGTGTGTGTTTGTGTGTGTGTGTACGTGTGTGCTTGAATAATGCGAAGATAAGAAGAAAAGACATTTTACATGTTTTGCTAAGTAACGACTAGACTATTTTAACTATGCGATACTTTTACTTCTACTACTACTACTACTGCTACTGCTGCTGCGACTACTACTACTACTACTACTACTACTACTAATAATAATAATAAATAATAAAATTCTTCCAATACTAACCGATCTCTAGGCATCTTATGTTACCGACAATAAGTAATAAAAATACAGACGCAGATGCAATCATATTCATTACGATCACTACTGTATTTTCCATCCAGATATTTTAATTATAGATATATAATTAAATCAGTGTTATTTGAATAGGATTTAATATGACAAAATATTTAACTTATTCTTATGTTATTATTTTATTTTTAAAAATATATCAACAGACGAGCAAAATGGTGACGGATAATCTCATCCAAATTAATTAACAACATAATAATTAATCAGCGTTATAATTAGGGATATAATATTTTTTATTGTCATAATTATCGCTATAACTATTGTTATAATTATTGCTATAATTATCGTTATTGCGTGGACGTTTTTCATTTCAAATCTTTCTTGTCATGAACTTGTCTATATATATTTAAAACATTTTTCCATTACAAGATTTCGAATGATCAACCAGCCCTATATATATATATATATATATATATATATATATATATATATTACATATATGTATTTATATCTAAAAGGAGACAAAAATAATATATATATATATATATATAAATATTTGTGTATGTATATATATATATATATATATATATATATATATATATATATATATATATATATATATTTGTGGATGTGTGTATGTATGTGATGTATGTGTGAAAGTGTGTGTTTATATATGCGTGTATGTATGTTGTAGCTACTATAGTAATTATGAAGACTATGATAATAATAAGGATGACGATGATGACGATGGTGATGACGATGATGATGAAATGATGGTAGTGATGCTGATGTTTTTGTTTTGCTTGAAGATTGTGATTGGATTGATAACATCGTCATAACAAAAGTATAAATAATAATAATAATAATAATAATAAATGAATAACGTTAATAAATAAAATAATAATAACCTTAATACTGATGATAGCAATCGCAATAATAAGAATAAAAATAATTATGTAATCTCGAAAACATATCTATCTATTTACTCCGAGCTTATCAAACAACTCTTTTTATCTCATCATTCTTCTTCCTTCATTTCTCCTTCTCACTATCTAACTTTCTCTCTTTCTCTCACTCTCTCTTTCTTTCTCGTTCTTATTTTTCTCTCTTAAATATAGTTTGAATGAAACAAGTTTCATTGAAGAGAAAAGGGAGAAGGGCAGAAGAATAAATGAATGAATTTATGAATGAATGAATTAATGAATGAATTAACGAATGAATGAATGAACGACTGACTGAATAAATAAACGACTGAAAGAATGAACAAATAAAAATAAGAACAAATGAACGTAAGAATAAAACGAAAAAAAAACCAACACTGGCATGATTGGAAGCATGAGTAGAGCATATTAATAAATCAATAAACAAAACAATCTAATGAAAAACTAAATAAACGACGAAGGAATGAATGAATAAATGAATGAATTGAAATAAGTGATTGACTGAACGTACAATTAAAGGAGAGAACATACTGCGATAAAGAAATGGCACAAAAAATATTTTTTATGGTCGGATGATGATGAGGTGAAATAATGATAGAGAGAGAGAGAGAGAGAGAGAGAGAGAGAGAGAGAGAGAGAGAGAGAGAGAGAGAGAGAGAGAGAGAAAGTCTACTCTAAACAGAGATGAAAAAATAACATAAAAATACATCCATCTATCAAGAATCCCAGACTTTTAATAAGGAGTTTAGTCATGATATAAAAAAAAACAATTTTTTATTTGCTAGTTTTGTTTCAAGTAAATTGATACTAACATTTGATTGAGTTTTAACAAATTTATCAGGAAGTTTTTAGATTGCTAAAGCAAATAAATGAATGAATAGTTGAATGAGCGAACGTGTGAGCAAATTAGTAGATGAATGAATGAATGAATAAATGGAGTGACGAACAACCATATAAGCAAGTATAACCTAAAACATCAGAATGTGTCAAAGAAATAGAGATCAAACCTACCGTCACTGGATGAATGAATGAGTGAGTCTATGGATGAATTGATGAATGAATGAACGAATGAGTGAATGCATCAATGTTTGGATGGTGAATTACAAAATGATCAGGAAAAGTAGGCATAACTTTGTACATCAGTAATAATGAAAATGTTGATTAACTATACCATTATATTTCAACTTTTCATGTATACGGCAAGCACAAAAATAACTTACGGAGTCGCCATCAATCGAATATTTAAAATTTTCAAAAAATGAATTTAACAGCATTTTTTTAACTATTCAACGCCATATAATTTTTTTACTTGTTTTTATTACTTTTAAAAAATTTTACTTTCGAAAAGTTCTCAAGGTTTTACCGATTTATTACCAAAAAACACCAAATAAATTAATGTTCTCGTCATGAATCGCATAAATACTATTTTATACGACGAAGTAGTATGCCTAATTATAATATATCTCCGTAAGGCGGCCCCATCATCATCAACAGCAGAGTTGGGCGTTTCTGCTTTGCTGCTGCTGTAACTGTATTTGTCATCAAACATTTGATTGGGAGGTTAGTGTATGTTATATATTATACATACGTATATATTATATATATATTATATATATATTTGTATGGCATATATATGTCCATGTTTGTATGGCTTGCTGCAGAAAGGCTCATTTAAATAGTAAAATCCAGATGCAAATATGATAAAATTTTTTCATCTTCTACATGTATGATTGGTACCCACCACACAATATTGCATACACACATACAACAGTTTGTCCTCTTCGCATTTCCGGCCGTCTGGTCTTGTTATTTTAGTGAATTTTCAGTGAAATTGGTGTAAATTCATCTAAGTTTTTTGTAATCTCTTAGAATAAAAATAAAAATGGATGAGAAATATGATGTGATTGTTCTCGGGACTGGTTTGAAGGTTAGGCTGATAATTAGAGATATAAATTTATGTAAGTAATGTTTGTAGTTTCTAGAATGTCTGGGGAATTAAGGGTTTCTTTTTCTGACTTATTAATAATGAGAAATGAATTTTATATTTTATGTGTTGTAAACTTAATTAAATTAAACGCCATATTAATTGATTTTGTAATGGTTGTTTATGGAATCCTCAAATAAAAGTGTAATGATTTTTCTAATGTTTAATAATCTCTACTAACATGAGTCATGAAATAGTAATTAAGAAGAGTTATGATGTTTGTTATATTCATTTTTTTTATGTGATACCATTATTAAATTTTAAAAAATAACACTAAACTAAAAAAGTTACTAAATTCTGCATTTTAGATACCATATAATAATCCTCTTTAATTTTTCTTAAGTTTAAAATATTAATATTATTAGTAAATAATAAATATGTTTTTATAATAATTTTATTTTTTGTTGAAAATAAGGAATGCATACTCAGCGGCTTAATGTCCGTCAGTGGCAAAAAGGTCCTCCACATGGACAGGAATAAATACTATGGTGGGGAGAGCACATCCCTAACGCCACTAAGTGAGGTAAATTAGGACTATTTTACTATACTAACTTTTTAGAGATTAGGAAGTTTTTTTTGTTATGATGATAACTTATTCATCCATCTGTTGTTTAGTTGTTTGCCCACTTCAAAGTTGCAAAAACTAATTTGGATGAGTTTGGTCGGCCAAGAGATTGGAATGTCGATCTAATACCTAAGTTCCTTATGGCCAGTGGTTAGTACATGTTTCATGTTGATGCTATTGATGATAATCTTTGCTACTGCTGCTGGTTCAGTGTAGCAGTTGTTGCCTATTATAAATTTCACCATTGTATAAATAATAAATAGATGTCCCTAATTTTTCACACAAAAATGAAATTAGGTGAATTAGTGAAACTGCTCATACATACCGGAGTCACGAGATATCTAGAGTTCAAGTCAGTTGAGGGAAGTTACGTCTATAAAGCTGGTAAGATTCACAAAGTGCCGGCCAACGAGAAGGAGGCTCTGACATCTGGTGAGACTAATAAATTCTATTTTTGATCGTTCTGCAAATAATCTAAAAATAGATTCCTAATCAGCCAATCAATGAAACCATCAAAAACAGATTTAATGGGCATAACTGAGAAGCCTCGTTACCGATCCTTCCTGCAGTTCATCCAAGAGTACAATCCCTCGGACTCCAGTACTTGGGATGGTTTCGATGCCAGCAAGCAGTCGATGAAGGAATGCTATGAAAAATTTAATCTCGATCCCAATGTGGCTGACTTCACTGGACATGCCTTGGCTCTTTATTTGAATGATGAGTTAGTGTGTGCACGGCTTGTTTCGCATTCGTATGTTAAAATTGTTTTTTGAATTATTAATTTTCTATTTTAGCTACTTGGAGAAACCAGCTCTTGAAACACTGAACCGTATAAAGTTGTACAGTGACTCACTGGCCCGATATGGCAAGTCTCCGTACCTCTACCCCCTCTATGGACTCGGGGAACTGCCTCAGGGGTTTGCTAGGTACATTCTCGTTTATTCATTTTTTTGTTTGTAAATTTATTTAATAATTCATTTATTAATCCATAAATCTATGTAATATTCTTGATAGTTTATCGTAAAAAACGCATGAAAATTGTCATAGTCCTAACAAAAATCATCCTCACCCTTGAAATTCAATGCAGATTAAGTGCAGTTTATGGGGGCACGTACATGTTGGACAAGGCTGTCGATGAAATTGTATGTGACGGTGGCAAGTTGATCGGCGTTAGGTCTGGAAATGACGTGGCCAGGTGTGACATCGTCATCTGTGACCCGACCTACGCTCCTGATAGGTGCAAAACTGTTGGCCAGGTCTCTAAATATTTTAATTTTTTTTAGAAATTAAAATTTTTTTTGTCAAATTCGTCTTCTATGTTCGGTTGAAGCATTTTTTTACAAAGAAAAATGGAAATAATCATATGATTATTTAAATTGTCACCAGGTGGTTCGTGCCATCTGCATACTGGATCATCCAGTCCCCTACACAAATGATGCAGCCTCATGTCAGGTCATCATACCCCAGAAGCAAGTTGGAAGGCAGAATGGTCAGTTAGGGATTAGGGGATAGGGATGGGCGTTTAAAGGATAATATTTCAGAAACAGCAGATGATAATTACTATCGCTCATTTATTTGTTTATTTATTGAACTCCAAAATTTTTGTATTCATTCATTTATGAATGTCAGTTTTCGACTGGCCAGTCACATTTAACCAATTACATCTCAATGACCAATCAGACATCTACATTTCCTGTGTTAGCTCCACCCACAACGTGACAGCCAAGGGCTTCTATCTGGTCCTGGTGGCCACTACAGTTGAAACTGATAATCCTGAATTGGAGTTGAAACCCGGTCTCGATCTTCTTGGCGCCATCAAAGAAAAGTGGGTCTTGACAATGATCATTGGCTCATTCATTTATTCATTCACTCAATTCATTCATTCACTTTTTTATTCCTTCTTTCATATTTATTCATTCACTCATTTATTCAATTACTCATTCAATGGTTAAGACCAGTGACTGCTTCTTGTCTGATTGAACAATTATTTGATGATTGAACGTATCACTGGATGAATGAATGCATGAATGGATAACTTAACGAATGAATGAATAAGTAGAAGGATGAATTAATTAAAAAACGACCTAATTAAATAATTGGGTCACTTAATAACCTAGATTCGTGGCGGTCAGTGACCTACTAGAGCCAGTGGACGACGGGAAAGAGACGCAGATCTTTGTCTCGAAAAGTTATGATGCCACGAGCCACTTCGAGACAACCTGCGATGATGTCCTTGACATTTTCAGGAGGTCAACCGGGTCAGATTTTGACTTCTCCAAGGTCAAGCACGTTCTGGAGGAGACCGAATGATGATGACGCTGATGATTATGATGATGATGATGATGGTGATGACAAATGAAAATTATGACGGTCATAATAGTTATAATATAATTTGTAATAATAATAACCTTAATGAATTATGTATAATGATAGTGATAAGTATAATTAGCATTGTGTGATGGTAAAAGATAGATATGTATATAAAGAGAATAAAGAGAGAGAGAGAGAGAGAGAAAGAGTGAGAGAGAAAGAAAAATAACTTTATAATATTAATAATGAGAATGATGATGCGTCTATATTAATAATAATAATAATATGAATGATAGATAGCTATGTAACTTCCAAATGTTTCAACTTCTCAAAATTTAACCCAGCAAGCATTCACGATTTCTTTTTATTTACACATTCGCTACTTCATTCGTTCATTTATTTCTCATTCATTCACTCATTCCCATGTTCATTCGTTTTGCTCATTCGTTCATTCATTCATTCATTCATTCATTCATTCTTCCATTTGTTCGTCGTTAAAACATTCTTTCATGTTAAACTTTACACGCATTTACATTTCGAACGCTGCTTCTTTTATATGGCTTGGTCATTTGGTCAGAAATAATTAGTTGTCACTTTTTATTGCTATTATTAATAATAAATAATATTGTTATTATTCATAATTTTTGTTCATAATTGTTATTATTTTTGATAGAATTTCTCAAATTTATTCAACCTAGTCAAAAAAAATTAGGCGAAATTTCCATTTCATCATGGATAACTGATACATACATGTTTGTTTGCACAGGGTTTACGTTTTTCTCTCTCTTTCTCTCTCCTCTCTCTCTCTCTCTCTTTCTTTCCCTCTCTTTTTCTTTCTCTCAATAAATAATTCTATGTGACAGTACGTTGAAAACTGTTTAGATAGATGTTCAACTAAAGTTATTGATTATGATGATGTCCGTGATGATGGTAATGATACTACTACTACTACTACGAATAATAGTAATGATAATAAAAATGATGATGATGATAAACGATCATTCCACATTTACATGTTTCATTGGTGAGAAACTTTTGATGTGAACATCTTCGCTTAATGTACTATTCTCCATTTTACGGTTATTATTATTATTATTATTGTTGCTTATTATATATATATATTATTCAGTGTATATATAAATTATATATATATATACCTGTTTTTATAGTGGTCGTCATCATTATTATTATTATACATATACGCTTATGGTTCCCTATGGAATTATTGTTATAATAATAATTGTTATTATTATTATGATTATTATTATTATTTTCGTCGATGTTGTTGTTGTCGTTGCTATTTTAGTATGTAATAAATATATATTATATATATTATATATATATATATATATATATATAAGAAAATAATTTGATGATGATGATTGCGCTTTTAAATGTATGTATGCCCGTCAATGTTATCATTTAATTAATAATTATATTTAATTAATAATTATATTCGGTTAATAATTAAAAATAATTAACGATTTATCGTGCTGATTGGCATTTTTCATAGCTTATTCAATCGTTTGTTTTGTATACTTCGTACCTGTTGTCAGTATAGGAATTAGTTTTGGTAAAAACTACAATGAAATTATTAATAATATTAATAATAATAATTATTATTATTAATAATTATTATTATTATTATTTACAATTATTCATATTTATTGAATTATTTTATTTGTTTTATTTGTTTCATTCACAGTGGAATTCATTAGTATTGATTTACCTTGTATCGCATATATATACTGCCTGATCTATATATATATCTATGTGTGATGCATTATTTGAAATGATTGTTTATGTATTTTTTCTTTTTTCTTTCATTCATTCATTCATTCATTCATTTGCCTGCTCATTCAATCAATCATTCATTTTTTGTTTTTTGTGTGTGTTACCCTTTAAACTCTGCATCAAATCTTATACTCATTTATTTTATCCATTCGTTCTCTCATTCATTCATTCATTCGTTCTTTCTTTGATAATAATTTGTGTTCGGTTTTTGTGGTGTAGTTTTATTTCATTTTTATTTCATCTATTTAAAAACGTCACTACATATGTTTATTAAAAGTATATTAAATATATTCGTATTAATTGAAAAATAAAACTCATTTGTAATTTTCAAAGCGCTCTACTTTTATTTTGATACTTTCAAATCTGTTTCTTCATCTCTAACAGAATATGATAGAAACATAACATTATGATGATAATATTAGATTTCATTTGCTACGTCTTGCTTTGTAAATTAATTAATTAATAAACTAACTAATTAATTGTTTATCAATAGTTAATTATTGTTCAGATAAAATGTTATTTATTTGTATAGATATTTTTGTATAAGAATGAAATAATTCAGTTAAATATTTCTTGTATGCAGTCGAGCTTTAACTTTTGAAATGGTTAGCGAACAAAAATTATATTTTTTGATGATTTTCAACATTTATTCTTATTAAGGATTAACTTTTAAAATATTACTTAGTAAATTTTATGGGAGGATTTTTGGGAACAAAGGTTATTGTAAAAATTAATGAAGCGTAAAGTAATATTTTTATTGGCTGTTAACTTTTAATCCCTAACTTTTTAGCCAAAGAGGCACATGTCGATAAACTAATTAGCATTCAAATTCCTAATCCAATGATCCTCTTTGTTCCATTTCTGCTATAAATAATCGTGGTCTTCAACAATGGCTAACACGCTTCTCTCGGAAAATTTCCTTTTGTTGAATTTTAAAACTTTTGGAGCAGTTTTACGTTCCTGGTGCCAAGAACTAAGTTCTACCTAACTACACGGACAGTTGCAATCGCCGGATTTTTCAAAATCAAAATGGCTAACAATGATGATTATTTCGACAGTCTAAAAGTAGGATGGAAAAAATACTTTGGTGATGGCGAATCCACGAATTTCTTTCACGATCTGAAAGTAGGCTGGAAGAAATATTTTGGGGATATGTTTGAGGAATTTGCAGCGAACACAACAAATATCCTGCTTCCCAGCACACCATCAGTCCCCACTGCAACATCATCACTAACTTCTCTAACCGGTGCCGATTATTATGAGACCACAGAAATGCCAGTAATGACCACAAATGGCAGTATGGATTACTACTATCTAGATGGCAACAGCACTTATAATTCAACATTGGGCAGAGTCAGTTGTGATTCTGCATTCTATCAACGAAACACTAAGGGTGATTGTGTCATGACCATTTTAACTATTTTCTTGATACTTGGAGTGTTCTTTTTTGGTTGGTCTTCTATATTTTTGGCGTATATAGCACATTTATTGCATGTTTAATATTTAGTTTGCATAATTAATTTAACTAATATAATTTCTCTCCTCCAAATAGTATTTGGACTTGTGTCTGCTTATGCAATAAAAAGACTGTTACTGCTTATGAAGAGGAAAGACTATGAGGAATGCATCATGATGGGACACATCCCGAGTGTGAAAGTCGTCGATGTCAAATTTTCTGAGGAGACCCCGATAGCTTACTGCAAAAAAACTTCTGCCAATGAGTTAACTTCTCAGGATTTTCGTAATTTTCTCTACAAACCATTTTAATAGATTCAAATTTGAAGCTAGAAGTAATTAATTAGTACGATTAAATCATGTGCCATTCGTTAAATGATGATACTAATCATTTTGATCCAATGTTTTTATTGATATAATTATTATTATTTCTTTTTTGCTTGAAAACTTGAAACAATGAAAATTGTTTGAATTGAAATGAAATCATCCCATCACCATGTCACAATGCCTAGCTTCACTCTACTTATTTTGACTCGTAGATGTGTGGCTTGGGAATAAAATGAAGAGACTAACTTTTTGTATTGCTTTTGAAATCTTGATCTCCGATTAATTTTGTTTATGTAGCCCATATACACACACACACACACACACACACAGTTTGAGGAGGGAGAAAGAGAAATAAAAATTCGCATCATACACGCACACACACGCCAACATATATACAATCAAACAAACAAGCACTTACACAAACAGACAGACATACACGCGCGCGTACATCTGACAGCTTTTAACCTCCGGTAATAATTTTTTCAACACTCATTAATAACTTACATTCTATTAATATCTCCTTCTTCTCAGCTTCTATCTTATATGTATCAAATATCTATCTATTATTGTTTGTTATCGTTATTATTATTATATATTTTTTTAAATTATTCTGAATCTATTTTTGATCTGTTGATGAAATGACGACCGTCGATTTATTTTTGACTAATCAGTTACAATTTAATTACAGGCAATTTACTAATTAAACACTAATTAAACACACATAATTTAAGTTAATGTACTACTATGGAATGAGTGATTGTATGAAGGAATAAACGAATGAATGAATGAATCAATCAAAGAAAACCAAACATTAAAAGGAATGAAAATATAAAGCATAGTTTGATTCATTATTATGTTATTGTTATTATTATCCTCTCTAATTGGGCACATCGTCATTGTTCCTGGCTGGGTGTAATTCTTGAACTTATTATTATTATTGTTTTTATTATTATTATTATTGTTATTTAAATCTGTTCCTACAACCGTTATTATTATTATTATTACTATTATTTATTACATTTCATTGCTTTTCCCATTGTTGTTAAACACTAGTTGATATTACAATTATTTTTAATTGGCTTGATTTATCTTGCTCTCTCTCTCTCTCTCTCTCTCTCTCTCTCTCTCTCTCTCTCCCTCTTTCTCACACACACACACACACACACACATATATATATATATATATATATATATATATATATATATATTATCTTCCTCTACACACACACACACACACACATATATATCTTCCTCTACACACACACACACACACACACACACACACACATATATATATATAAGTCTGTGTGTGCGTGCGTTTGTGTGTGTACAGTCATATATAAGACCACCAAAACGCATTTAATGTTCTGCTTGCTTTCGTTTAGTTGAAGTCAAATTTTTTCTGGTTAATTTTATAAAAATTATTAAATTATATTATTATTATTATCATTTATATTATTGTCATTATTATTATTAACACTATTATTATTATTATATATATATATTTTTTCTTTCAATCCCTGATCGTCATCGAAGAAGGATTTGGCACGTTAGTACATTTAAATTTTTGATAGTTCAATGCAACAAAGATAACAGCATTAATAATAATATTTATTATTATTACAATGATAATTATATTCATTATAATAATAATTATTTTAATAACTACAACAACCATAACAAGAATAATCATCATAAAATCAGTCATAATCGTCTTCACATTTTAGCTTACGTAGCATTCACAAACAGTTCAGTTGTTATAACAACTATATTTATAACTATTATTATTTAGTTATTGTTTATTATTATTTTATTATTATTATTATTATTGCAGTTATTAATTATATTTACGTAGCGATAAGAAACCGTTGAAATGCACACAATTGAGATTTATTATCTTGGTTTAGTTTTGATTAAGAATAATAATTATAATAGTTAAGAATAATTATAATAATTATTATTATAATTATTATTATTATAAAAGTGAATGTAGTAATTGTAAATTATAAGGATGATGGTAATGATAATGATGATGCAATTTAATTTCAAAAAGCCTTTCATTACGTTATGTAACCATTGCATAACCGACCGGATTTTATCAAGATGTCGTCATCATTACCAGCATCATCGTCATCATTATCATCATCATCGTCATCATTACTATTATCATCATTACCATCGTCGTCGTCACCATCATCATTTTCATCTGAGTAATTGCTTCAATGATTATTTTTTCAATGGCAAAATTTTACAAAACACAATACAATACTCTCTCTCTTCTCTCTTTCTTTTTCTCCTCTCTCTCTCTCTCCTCTCTCTCTCTCTCTCTCACTCTTTTTCTTATTCTATTGCTGAAGCAGTAATAGTAGTATTAGTGTTAGTAATGAAATGATAACATAAAATCATAGTAAAAGTAATTGCTGGGACTATAATAACATAAATTAGTAGTAGCAGTAGCTACAGCAGCAGCAGTAGTAGTAGTGGTGTTGGTGGTAGTAGTAGTGCACCTGAAGTGTAGTGACTTAATTAGGCGTTCGTACGTACGTGGAATGGTTGTGCTGTTTTTGCACCGAACAATGCAATTACTTACACTACAATTTGTTTTCTTTATTATTATTATTGTTTTTTTTATTGTTATTATTATCATTATTTTTGTTGTTGTTATCGTTTTGAGTAGAAGTGGTCGTATTTTGAGTAGCATTAATAGTTCGTTCGTTTGTTTGTTTGTCCGTTTGTCCCTTCATTCATTCATTCTTTCGTTCATTCTATCGTTCATTCATTTATTTATTCAAATGTCTTGAAGAATTTTTGTTGAAATGCACGTGTGTGCATAAAATTAAACGTAGCCGAACCGTATTTAATCGATTGCAACACGGTTAAGAAAGATATCGGTCGGTATTCGGGTCATTTAAATGGAGAAACTAGTTAATTGGTGTACGTTTGTATGTGTGTATGTTTGTTTATTTGTCTATGTACCTTTGCACGAGTATTTGCAAACATGTTATTTATATTTATTTTTGAAAAATCTCAAATTTTTTGCAGATAAAAAACCAAAATGGTCTTCCCATCATCCTCAACAACAACATCACCGCCACCATCATCATCATCACGACAATCATCATCACTAAAATCATCATCAACAGCTACAACAAACTTGCGATTACTAGCGCGCATATTGACTGTAACACTTATTATAAGTACGACGACGACGATGAATATTAGAAGATCATCATCACAACCACTACCATCATCACCACTATCACCATCATCATCAACATTGTTACTATCATCATCATCGTCATCATTAAAAAATAAAAAACAACAACGACAAATGTTACTGAAAAAACCACCTAGCCCAATTAAGGGGCTTTCCGTCCCCTTAAAAATTCATGGAGTTGTGGGTGGTGGAATCACCTTGAGGTGCCCCTTCGAAAGGGTTCCTTCAGTTGAACATGTCAACTGGAAGAAAAATGGCCGAACTCTCACCATCGTCGGCGATTCGAGGTTTTATTTTGAAGAGTTTAAATACGATATTATGAAATTGAATAATGAACTAACCAATCAATCAACCAATCATGAATACGTTCATTCTTTATATTTATTCATTCATTCATTCATTCGTTCGTTATTCATTTACCAACCAATCAGAATCATCCACGATGACGTCACGATCACCATTAACAACCTGGAGATGGGTGATTCAGGGATGTACACCTGCTTAGCCATCAACGGCTTCGGATCGGCGGAAGCGGAAATAGATCTAGCAGTTGTCGGAAGTGAAAAGAAACTCGGCGACAGTTATAGTAATAGTAGTAGTAATAATATAAATAATAATAATATTATTATTTACGATGAGAGTAATTATAGTCATTATGACTATTATGAAAATAATTTGAAAGAAGACGATGAGGACAATGACTATGAGGGTTAGTAAATGAATGATTGAATGAATGAGTGAATGAATGAATTACTGAAAACCAAATAAGCTCATACAAACGAATAATGGCACGCACATTCGTACATAAAAACACGTACATTCACATACATTTAAACATGTACCCACATGCTTTACATATACAGACATTCAAACGAACATCTACACACGCACACGCACACACGTACAAACTAATATTTCGCTAAACAAATTTTAAAAACATGTCTGGAAAAACTTTGCCACTATTGTTGACGGTGATCAAACAACGTCGATGACGACGACGATGATTGTAGTAGTAGTAGTAGCAGCAGCAGTAGTAGTAGCAGCAGCAGTAGTAGTAGCAGCAGCAGTAGTAGTAGCAGCAGCAGTAGTAGTAGCAGCAGCAGTAGTAGTAGCAGCAGCAGTAGTAGTAGCAGCAGCAGTAGTAGTAGCAGCAGCAGTAGTAGTAGCAGCAGCAGTAGTAGTAGCAGCAGCAGTAGTAGTAGCAGCAGCAGTAGTAGTAGTAGCAGCAGTAGTAGTAGCAGCAGTAGTAGTAGAATCGTTATCATCGTCGCCGTCGTCATCATCACCAATGTACCTTGCTAAGAGCCAATCATGTTCTTTTAAGAGCTTAGCTAGGGGTGATTATATGGCGTGTTAAGGGGATTTTTGAAAGAAAAATGATGATGATTTATCAGTGTTAGTAGTAGTAGCAGCAGCAGTAGTTGTAGCAGCAGTAGTAGTAGCAGTAGTACCAGTAGTAGTAGTAGTAGTAGTAGTAATGGTAGTAGTAATGATTGTATCAATAATCAAGCATGACACATTTTACTTGTGTTTCATTTGTTTGCACAGATCAAACAATGAGAGAAATAAACACACATCTGCGCACACGCACACACATACATACACATACACATATACCAACGTATATACACATACATACTCGTATACACATACATACAAAACATTCTAAAGGGTCTCAATAAAACAACGTTAAATCACAATTCTTAATGGTTTATATATATTTCTTTCTAAAATTGTTATTATTATTATTCGTAGTAGTAGCAGCTGTAGTAGCAGCAGTAGTGGTAGTAGTAGCAGCAGTAGCGGTAGTAGCAGTAAAAAGTAGAATCATCGTCAACATCAATGACATTGTTTAAAGAAGATTAGATGTATCAAACGCCATTATTTACTCTGGTTAAGTTTTAATTAAACATGGTAATGTTAACAATAATTATTTTATTATTATTATTTTATTATAATTATTTTATTATTTATTTTATAATAAATAATTTTATTTTATTTATTTTAGTATTATTATTTTATCATTGCCCTTTTATTTATCTGGCCCTAAAGCATTTTTCAAATGTATCTGTTTGCTATCTTCGTCAGGCATGTTATTTATTTGTATTTCTATTATTCTCCGATTGTTATTATTGTTGTTATTATTATTGTTATTTAATAGTAACGTTGTTATTGATAAATCTGTCTAACCATTTTGCAGATTATAATGATGAAAAGGACAATGATGTTTCTGAACAACAACAACTTCAACATCAACAGCATCAACAACAACAACAGCATCAACAACAACAGCTATATTATGTAATCATAGTGGCGTTATTTGTTAGCACATTAATGTCACTCTTGGTCGTTCTATCATTTTTATTGTACTGTCTGAAAAGGAGAAACAACATCAACAAACTCAACAACAACAGCAACGAACCCAACATCAACAAACTCAACAACCTTAACAAACTCAACAACAACAAACTCAACAACAGCAGTGAGAACATCAACAACAAAAGCAATCCAATTTGGAAAAATTACGATTTGAACCAACAACATAATTATAATATTGGATCAACGAAGAGCAACAACAACAACAACAACAACAACAATGACGAAGATGACATCAACAATCATCTTTTCTCATCACCATCATCACTTCTACTCATTCAATCATCATCATCATCTTCTTCCTCGCAATCGTCATCAGCATCATCGTCGACTCCATCTTGCTTAATGCACGCGTCATCAAAAGAACGGAAATTGCGTCACGGCGAACAAGATGGCGATTCAAGATGGCCGCTAATTGACCGCAGAAATTCGAATGTATATAACAAGTACTGAAAGAAAAATTTCAGATAATCATGTGAAGAGAAAGAAAGAAGATATGAGTATAAGAGAGAGAGAGAGAGAGAGAGAGAGAGAGAGAGAGAGAGAAAGAGAGAGAGAGAGAGAGAGAGAGAGAAAGAGAGATGAAATGAAGAGCCAGTTTAATAATTTTAACGCATATATTTTTACATTAACCATTAAACCATTATATCAGTGTTTAGAAAGTTCATTATGCAAAATTCTTATCGTGTGTGTGTGTATGTACGTGGTTTACAAAAAAATTAACATAGTGCTCGAAACAACTCGAAAAAAAAACTATATAGATGTGTTTTCGCTAGAATAAACTGAGAAAATATGGACGATAGATTGGATGGAGAATATTACCTATATATAATACGACTTCAGTTCACTCGATCATTATTAATTATTACTATTTATTTATTTATAATTTATTTTTTATTATTCTGGCGAGGCATTCAGTCTTTCTTTTAGAATGAGCATAACGTTGTGGAGATTTTTCTGCAGGATTAACGAAAAAATTTTTGTAAAAATTATCTTAAAATCAAAATAAATAAAAAATAATTAAAAGATCAGTAATAATATTGACAGTACCTGCAAAATATGCACCCCTTTCAAGGTCATAACAACTAACTCCTTCAACGAATCAGAAGTAAGGTCAACAGGTTGAAGAGCCATGATTGGTTCATTCAAATCTTTCATTTCAACCAATTTGAATCCAAGCTGCTCTGATTGGCTGACGCTATTACGACTAGTAATTGATTGGCTATCGTCGTCGTCATCGTTATCAGGATTGTCGTCAGCATCATCACCATCACCAGGAACATTAATAAAATCTCCGCCGAGATTACTGCTACTATTGTTGGATGTGTTAGCAACAATACCAGCTTTCAAAACATCATTCTTTGTTGTTGTAGTAGTAGTAGTAGTAGTAGTAGCAGCAGCAGCGGCTGCAGTAGTAGTAGTTGAAGCAGAAGCAGTAAGAGTAGTAGTAGACTGCCTGCCACTAGTTAAAGAGTGAGAGATAATTGATGAAAACGAACCAGCGGGTAGAATTGTTGACGCCGATGAAGATGACGCCAGCGATTTCAGCGTCGTCGTCGATGACGTAGATGTTAATGGTGAGATAGTTAGGTGAGCAGCTGGATCGTCTCGGTTGCTGTTTCGATTGGAATTTTTTATTTTAGTAGCAGATGGCTTAGTTGCTGGTGGGTCCGTTGGACAGTTTGTTGGCGCCGCTGATGCTGCTGCTGTAGTAGCGATTGTCGTAGTAGTTGTCGTTGGATCCAGTGGAAGCAATTTGTAGTAGAGCAATCTCTGAGAAATGTTACATTTTTTTGGCTTATAACGACAACAAAATGTTTCCAAAATCACACTCAAAAAATAATTCCCAAAACTCTTTCAATCAAATAATAATCAATGGAACCAGAGCAGCCAGCCAGAGCAACCCACCTTTCCGTAAGTGCCCAACACCAACTCGGCTACTCCATCAAGGTCAAGGTCGACAGCCACCCCACACAAACAGCAGTCGTATAAATTGCTCTGCGCTAAAACATTAATCAGGGAGAAGCCCGACTTGAACACCCTCCTGTATACAACAGACTGTTCAAAGGCCGTCGTTATCAGCACATTGTAGTTGGCGATATCCTGATCGGTGTTGGGGTCTGCTGGCGAGTTAGTGATTGGGTCAATTATAATGTCGGGTAATAATTATGATAATTGTTACGATAATTATGGCTATTAAAATTACGAACGCTATTATTTGACCTGAGTGATAATTCAAGTTGAAGATGGTGAGACTTGTGATGACGTCATCGTGATCAGTTAGGTAGGTCTTCAGGATTTCTAATGTTAAATGAAGGAAGAAACGAATGAATGAGTAAATAAAAGAATAAAAAAATTAATTAATAGAGAAATAAATGAAGGAACGAACGAATGAATGAATGAATCATAATTGGTTGATCAAATGAACAAAATCCACAAACTATTTTCTTCCAGATCGACCACAAAAGCAAATGACCTTCCATCCCTGAGACCCACAAAGGTCAATCTCGTTTTTCTTCCCAGGTTCACACACTGCATGCACGTAGCGCTAAATAGGTCAAAAAATAATTGGGTCAAGTCATGAATAGTTTGAGAAAATTATTTTCAACGCTAACAATCCAGTGAATGTGGCAAATTCAGGGAAATATTCCTCCACATCTACTGCTGTAAAGTTATTTCTTGGGGACTGTGTGAAAATCAATCAATAAAGTAACCAATCAATCAACCAGCCAACTAATCAATCAACCAGCCAACTAATCAATCAACTAGCCAACCAATCAATCAACCAGCTAACCAATCAATCACCTCTTCGTAAACATGAATTTTTCCATCCAAACCAGAGAGTACAAAGACAGATTTTATGTTATCTTCACCTTTGAACACTCTGCCATAATGAAAAATGATTGAATCATTGTTGCACATTTCAATGAGTTGTGGAAATTACTAAGACTATATGAATAAATTATGCAAATTACTTAGCTTGAGTGAATAAATTATGTAAATTACTTAGCCTGTATTAAAAAATTATTTGAATTACTGACTCTGTGTGATATAACTGTAGTGGTACATACTCAAGCTTCAGTTGGCAACAGCCTTGAAAATAAAAAAACAATAAAAAGATTAATATTGACAAATATATTAATATTATGATATAATGACATAAATGTTTTTACTATTTTTGAGAAATTTTATGTAAAAATGTTATGTACAAATTAAATTGTCCACGTTGAAGTCAGCATCATCTGCATCACTTTCCTGGCTGTATATGTTCAAATAACTCTAAAATTATGATGGGGATAATAAAAAATATTAGATATATGCTTAATATTATAACTAAAATTTATGAAAGTTAGGTAAAAAAGTTAAGTTAGCATAAGCAACATTTCCATAGGCTTCATCTTTATCATTAGCAGCAGCTGAATTAATATCGTAATCTTACTTCTGAAGACTTAGTGAAAGTTATGCCAATGAATATCTTGCCACTCCTTGCTACCTGATTCATTGCATCTATTGACACCAGGTCACAATCAGCTAGACATCAGAGGTGAATAGTAAAACAGAAGTAATGTGTACAATAAATAACTCTCTAAATAGAAGTATTATGAAAAATAATATTCTTAAGGTTTAGTAACAATAATAAATTATTATTTAATTAATAAAATTAAATTAAGTAATTAATTATTAATAAGATTTAATTTGGAAAAAACGCAAAAAAATTATGAAAGTACCGGGTATTGGATTGAAGGGTATCGGTTTAATAATCGGTACATTGTGCTGCATATCGATGCAAAGCCCATTTCCGCGCAGTGGGGCCGCCAACAACTTCTTATCGCCGGACTTCAAATTAATAACAGCCAGTGAATAAACATTGCACTGAAAATCCAAACTACAATAATTCAACTCCTCATAATCGTCTTTAACTTTTGACGTCATTCTATTCTTTCAAATTTAAACGTTTTCGAGTTTTTGCAAAATTGAATGGACTGCAGCCCGGCACGATATTAATGAAAAGTTAACTTCGGCTAAAAAGTGTTGTGCAAGGTAATGTTTGATCCAGGAACTGAATGAAAGGTTAACTGGGGCCGCTACCAAAAACAAACGACACGAATTGTAATATTTCTCATACATAAAATAATCAAACAATGTATTTTTTAAAGTTTTTTGAAAGTAAATGTCAAGAAGAACGTCCAACCCAAGCTTGAAAAACTGCTATTTTCTGCAAGAAATGAACAAATATAAAAATTAAATAGATAATAACTACGAATAACGATTAAATAATTTATAAACGACAAATCAAAGTGAAAAAACTTTAAAAACAGCATCGAAAAACGAACTTTTTAACAATTTGAATGACATCTTCATCATTGAGGACGTGTTCCTTGCCAACCTTTTGGGGCTGATGTTTCACTGAGGACCCCCAAACTAAAGCGCTATAGAATTATTTAAAAGTCAATTATGAAATATCTAAATTAAGAAAATAAATTGATAAGATGAATTCATGAGAATATGTATCAAAACAGAATGATATGAATTGATGAGTAGCCAATGAATGTGAGTAGAATGATTCAATCAAACAACAAGAATTCAATCAACAAACCAATCAAATAGTCAATCAACCGACTAACTATTTAAACTCTTTGATAATGTTCCTATGAAGTTTATTACAAAAGTCTTCAACAGATTGATGTTCTTCTTTCAGGACAACAGGTGATGTATAATCGGGCAGTTGACCTTTGGGCTTCGTATAACTGGGTCAAGGTCAAATAAAATGATGTTAATGATGATGCAGATGTAGATGATGATGAAGATGACGAAAACAACGATGATGAAATCCTAACAAAATTTTAAACACATAAAAAAAATAAAATGAAAAAGATATCAATCAATGACAAACATACGCAATTATAAATACGACGAATAATAAGGTACGACTAACAGCCTAACGAGTCTTAGGTAGTTCCACATTTTTTCAAGAAGATCGTCAAAGTTCCATTTGTGATGGGCAGAGATTGGAACACAGTGGGGAATTTTGTAGATTATGTCCAACTCCTGGGGCCATTCAAATCAATCAATCAACCAACCAACCAATCAACTATCAAACCAACCAACCAATCAAATAACAAAGCAATCAACCGACCAACCTCAATAGATATTTGATCGATTTTATTCAGTACATATATGCACGGCACATACACTCGATTCCCTTCGATGACGTCTATCAGCTCTTCGGTAGTGGCATCATGTCGTAGTGTTACATCGGCATTACTGATCCTGTACTCGCCCAGAATAGCCTAGGTAGGAGTTTCAGTGGAAATTTTAACAATCTTTGTAGCAGTTTTAGCGCTATTAGTAATAACTTTAGTGACATTTATAGCGATTTAAATGCTGCAAGTATTTTTCAGTTGTAGTGCAGCAGTTTAAGCATTATTGGTATTTAATAATCTACATAAATGAAGATGGCCACATCAATGTAAGCCAGAGGAGCCTACTTTAACAGTGTCAATGTCGAGTTCTGATTGGGCAACAGTTGCAGTTAGGTTAATTCCGCCTTTGTCCTTTCTCTTGAACGTTATGTTTGGTGGGGTCTGCGATGATAATAATGACGAAGAAGATAATAATAATAATAATGATCATAATCAGTATCATCATCGTTACAGAACCTTATTCAATCTCAGTCCAAAGCCTTCCAACTCACTCTCAAGTATTCTCTTGTGCTGAAGTGGCTTCAAAACATCCAGGACTATGAAGACCAGACTGCATGTACGCGCCACTGATTGAATGAAAAAATGAATGAACGAGTGAAGGAATGAATGAATGGACAAAAGAATGGATGAGTAAAGCAAAAGTGAACGAATGCATTTGGACGTGGTGGCATATGAAACTAACCAGCGATGACTTGTTTTCCTCGTCCCTTCCCGTCCTTCGCACCCTCTATGATTCCAGGCAAATCTAGCAACTGAAAAAAATAAAAAATAGAATTAAAAATAAATTCAAATTCTTAGTAATTAAATTAAATTTTAAGTTTATACGAACATCATAGCCAACTAGTAAAAAACAGAAACATAAAAACTTTAAAAAAGATAAAATGTTCTATCCAGAATTCTATCTCCATCACATTCTTAAACTCCTAACTTGGATCTTAGCTCCTTTGTACTTAATGCAGCCGGGGACAGTTGTAAGTGTGGTAAATTCATAGGCTGCCACCTCTGAATACACACCAGCAAGATTTGTTAGCAAAGTCGACTTGCCAACTGATGGAAAGCCTGTAGTATATTTAAAATTATTATCATTAACAAGCTGCAAGAAAAATATAAACAACAATTAACCAATGAAACAATAATAAATTTTAAAAGTTGGATAACCAACCAACAAATCCAATTCTAGCATCTCCTGTTTTGGCAACATCAAATCCTTCCCCAGTGCCTCCACCTCCTCCCTTTGGTTCAATCAGTTCCCTTTTTAGTTTGGCCAGGCGGGCTTTTAGTAAACCTAAATGACCCATTGTTGCTTTGTTCTTCTGGGTCCTGGCCATCTGGTGGTTGAAAACATTTAAGGTCATGATTTTTTAATATTCTACAATTTATTTATAAAAAAATGTTGGTAGTGGCCGATCAAGAAAACAAGACACACGTTAAAATAATACAAATTGATAAACAAATAATATAATCATTATAATGATAATCAACACAAATTTAACAAGTTTGGAGAAAATTGCAAAAATAAAATTACTACTGACCTCATTCTCAATTTCGGCAATTCTTTCCAAAATACCCATTTTTACATTTAAACCCTATATAGTAACTTAAAAAAAAAATTTTAATAAAAAAAGAGGCGAATTTTAGAAAGAAAAAACCACGTAGATCACACCATCAACGGCCCAGGACGAAAATTTGTTGATGGTTAAAAGTTAATTTAACTTAACAAAGAACAGATATAAATTATTTTTAAAATAGTGTAATTTTCTTGTAACATTTATTCATCAATTTTTCTTAAAATCTTCAAAATAATAAAAAAATTAATAAAAATAACTAATATAAATTATTTTCTTTATCAAAATTTTTACAAAAAAATTCAATTTTTTCTATCAAAATCATCATAGTTATCCTCATCTTCACAATACTTTACATCATCAACATCTCCTTAGTTATATTTTTGCTTCAGCTGCTAAACATTATCATATATATATATATATATATATATATATATATATATATTATATTATAATATATATAAATATATATATATATAAATTAAGTGTATATTTATATAAATATATATTTATTACATACAATCTGTTTACATTGTTATAACACGTTCTAAAATGATGATAGGTTATGATGATGACGATGACGATGATGATGATGATGATGATGATGATGATGATGATGATGATGATGATGGTAGTGATGATTTT